AATAAAACAAATTCTTAAGAAATTGATGTCATGTCGAACCCAAAGATCAATACCTTCAATTATGTTTTAGAATCACTTGGAAATGGCACACTTGAATGAACACTTTGGACTTGTATCCTAAAACAAACATCTTGATTAAACATCCACCCAACTTGACTTGGGCAGAAAAAATTCTGAATCTTCGATTAAAGCTGAATCACTTTCAATATGTCTGAGTTAATATATGGGAAAATAAATCCACAGATGAACACAACCTGGACTGATGAACCTTGACCCTGATAATCTGGACCAAACTTCTCATAGAACACTGCTTGATAAACCAATGGATTTCGACACAAGACAATTTGACCTTGAATAATCACATTTCCTGAGAAAATAACCCACTACCACGGGTAACTTATAATTGAAGCAAACTCTTGATAGTTTGACCAAGATGAGGTCAAACTTCCATCTGATTTAGACTTGAATGAATGTCCTTGTCATCAATCTCCTTGCAAAACCCTAAACACACACAGAAGAAGAAGAAGAAACAAGCAAATTGAAAAATATTTTTGGTATTTTGATTAGAGGTCAGTAAACATAAACAGCAAAAAGCAAGTAAGAAACACACAAGGGTGCCGGGAGAACCATAAAGTATGATCTTGTTTGTGTATGCAATTATGCAAATGAAATGTGGGATCTTAGGGGTAAAAATTAGGGTATTACAGACCTAAAACATGTTTCCCCCCTTTTGAAGTTTTCGTTTCCATTTTGGTGGTGGCTGAGTTGAAGTTGCTTGTGGTGGCTGAGTTGGAGCTTCTTGTTGTGGTTCCTAAGTTGGAGTTGCTTGTTATAGTGGATTAGTTGCAGTTTCTTGTTGCGGTGGTTAACTTGGAGTTGCTTGTTGTGGTGGCTTAATTGGATTTCCTTGTTGTGGTGGATGACTTGAGGTTGCTTGTGGTGGTGGTTGTTTGCATGTGGCCTTGTTGTGACCATCCTTATGGAAATGACTACATTAGATTCCATGTCTTTCTCGTTTCAGATTTGACATATCTATCACCATTTCTCTAGCCTCTTTGTTCATTTTTTTCTGGGGTATACCAAGTTGTCTCTTTATGGGTGGTGGTTGCAGATTAAGAACATTAGTTCTTTTCCATAGAGTTTCCCCATTAACTAGATAAAGAAATGGTGATAACAAGCTTCATAGATTTTCTTTTTATAACAGTCGGGCACAAAACCATCTAGTTCTAGGTGTTGATCTTTCATGCATGACATTGCATGATAGCATGGAGCCCTGTCAGCATCCAATGACATTGCATGATAGCTAGGTCAACTCATAAAAGTCATAGGTTGACTTACATTGAAGGGAAAATGTTTTGAAACTCTCTGCCTTGCATGCACCTACCCTGGATTGACGCATGAGCTCCTATAGGTCGACTCATACTGTAGGGAAACTTTTTTGATACTTTCTGCCTTGCATGCGTCAATGCATGGGTTCCTGTAGCTCAACGCATGGGCCAATTTTTATGCAATTTTGGCCACTACCTTGTACAGATCGACTCATAGATGCTAGAGGTCAACCTCTCGCATGTCTTTACCCATTTTTCCGTGTATTTGTGTTCCCAAACTCATTTTTTTCTCATTCATGTACATATATATATATACTCATATGTGTCACTTTGATAAAACAAGAAGAAAATTGAAAGAAACATTGTCTTGCTCTTCATCTTCACTTTCACAATTGCATTCATTAATAATTACACATAATCATAATTATTGATTATGCTTAGTCAATAGTGATAACGTCCAAACGTAGGATTTGTAAATCAAGTTTGGGTAGAGATTCAGTGGTATTTTCTTTGATAAAACCATTGGGGTTTTGTCCTCCAAGATCTTGATAGATTTGGGGTTTTTTTGTACAAGTCTTCGCATCACAGATTCATCCGAGTGAAAGCCTTGAAGAACGGTGGGTTCGACCAAGGGAATAAAAGTAATCGAAGGATCTTTTTGGAAAATTTGGGGTCAAACACCTTGCAAAAAAAATCATCTGAGTGAAAGACTTGAAGAACAAAAAGTTTGATCAAGTGAGCAGCGGTAACTGGAGGTTCGTTTATAGTGTTTGATGCACTTAATTAAGCTAGAATCAAAAGGATAGAAGTGGTTAGATTTAAGCTCAACAATTGGGTTAGATTGCTGGTTTTCTAGGAATTCTCTTGTACTGAATATTACACACATATTTTATAAATATCACAATTCTATTTTAGAATGGATGACAGACGTACTTAAGCGAGGACGAAAGGAGAACTGCCTAAACAAATTGGGTCTCTCTCTCTCTCTCTCTCTCTCTCTCTCTCTCTCTCTCTCTCTCTCTCTCTCTCTCTCTCTCTCTCTCTCTCTCTCTCTCTCTCTATCTATCTATCTATCTATCTATCTATCTATCTATCTATCTATCTATCTATCTATCTATCTATCTATCTATCTATCTATCTATCTATCTATCTATCTATCTATTTATCTATCTATCTATCTATCTATCTATCTATCTATCTGTCTGTCTATCTATCTATCTATCTCTTTACTTTTATAATGTTGAAGTTTGTGTGAAATCAATTGTTAGCAATATTTTGATTGCTTTCTAGTGTTTCAAACAGCTGTGTAAAACCATTGCAATCACTTTGATTGCAAGTGAGAAAAAGTCTACACTACATATTCAAAGGAAATTTGACTTAGTGCATTTCGCACGCCAAGTGATTGATATATTGATAACATACGAACTGTTTGATAAATTGTCAATTCAAATTTTATCCTCATTTAAGCATTAGAATCTGGTTCACCTTAAGTAGCTTTTATTTGAATTATTGATTGGGAACCTTATTGATTCTAATCTCTCATCAAGATCATTCCATTCGATTTCGCATATTTGATCTTTCCAATAAAAGTTCGGATAGACGAGTTTTGATCCGAGGCTGCTTTCACATATTTTAGAACAATTTTTTGAAGCGCAAATTATTAAAATAAGTGATATATTCAACCCCCATTCTAGATCAGTGCCCTCGTCTAACAGTTAAAAACCAATCAAAATCAAAGTGATTATGATTATATCAACAACAACACTTAAAAAGATACTTGAAAATGATTTCCAACTGAATTAATCGAAACAACAACGAACTCGATAATTTGCAAGAGCAACAATTAAAGAGAGAAAGCAATAAAGATAAAGAGACACAAAGATTTGTTTAGGCAGTTCCCCAAACAGCCTCGCTATAGGTACGTCTGCCCTCAATCCGAAATCGAATTGAGATACTTGTAATTATCTTTATCTTTGAAAAAAATGTTTATATAAGAGGTGAAGAACTCTAACCCCACAAACCCTATGGTTTGTTGTTGATTCAACCACCTTCAAACCCTTGATCAAAGCTTATCAAATCACCAACAATGCGGCTACAATCCACCGATTATCCTGAGCACGCACTTGTTGAACCCAAGATTCCTGAGCACGATTTACTATCTCGCGCTACTCCTTTGCAAGGAAACCACCTTATCCCAAGGCCTTCACTCTGTCTAATCTGTGTTGACGTGATCTTGTCCAAAACCTTCAAATTCTAATGATCTTGAAGGAAAATCCCACCTTGGTTTTCTTATTTGAAACACACACGATCCCAACACAATATTCTCGGTTACACCAACCTAATTTGGTGTTATCAACCCTAATCTAGATGGTCAACCAATTAAAAAATAATTATGTGTAGTTTGATTGTTTGTATGCATAGAAGAAAGGTTGAAGATGATGTGAATATTTTGTAATCCGATTTTGCTTAAGTTTTACACCAGTACCTTGCAAGAAAAAGATGCATGTATGAGTATATATAGGCATGAGAAATAATGAGAAAAAGGAATGCAAATTGTTTGAGTAAAAATGAAATTTTAAGATGGAAAAATCGTATGTGTCGGCCTATCAAAGCATTAGGTCGGCCTATCAAGGTAATCAGGTCGACCTATGAAGGTCATAGGTCAACCTGTAAAGATTATGTGTCGCTTATGTGCCGACCTGAGTGGGGTGACCTATGGACAGAGACTACATGCTTTAATATTGATCCATGGGAGCTAGCCTGAAATACTATGTGTCGACCTATACTGAGTCTGAAACTTGTATAGGTTGGCTTGTTTACGCGTGTGTCGACCTGAAATGACTTAACCATCCAAAAACATGCTTTTCAATGCAATTTTGATGTAAGCTCCTTTTTCAACTCACTTGAATTCTTCCTAATACTAAAATGCTCATCTAGAATGGAGGATACTGTCCAATATAAATAACGCTACACTTTCCTAGTTTTGACATCACTCAAAATCTAAAAGCACTCACAAATTTATAATAGAGTCAGACTCCTCAAACTCTACTGATGATCTCGGGGAAGAGCCAGAACCACCATTTTTATTTTTCATCCTTCCCAACTCTGACCCGCCTCTCCACTTTCATCAAAACTGATGCACAAATTCTCAAGAATAGTGTTGTCATCTTCCTCCTCCCTTACCCATTCCTCATCAGCTGCCTTCGATGAAGAAAACTCTAACCATGAACCTTAGTCCAAAGGAGAAAAAGCTTGCAAACAGCCATGAAGATCTTCCACAACTCTGATTCTGAACACCTCTCATTCTATTCGGACATTGAATGTCTCATTAATAGATGCTATAAATAATAAATTATGTTACTTTTATTTTATCTTTAATTAATTTTATCTTATTGTATTAACCCAATAACTGATTAAACCAGTTAAATCTATATCTTTCTCTATTTAAATAAAGTAACTATAACAAAATTTTGAATTAGTATATCATTTCACACACTTAATACTACTTATGGTCTACAAAACCAGAAACTTTACTAGTACCAAGCTCAATACATACAAAAGACCAAAAAAGTCTTATAATTAAAATGAAATTGTCAATATTAAATTTTCAATTTTATACTTTAGAAACTTAAATTGGAGAGAAAATAACAATTTAGAATCTAAATGGATGGTTTATTGAAAAGAAATGACTTCACCCCTTAGAAAAAAGAGACCAGATGGAGCATCATCTTGCAACAAAGCTAGCTTCACAGGATATTCTGCAGCTTCATCAATGCTTAAAAATCCAGTATTCTCATTAATATCAGTCTTAACAAAGTCAGGGCATAAACAATTTATGCGGAAATGAGGAAACTTCATTGCTAGCAACCTTGTGTATGAATTCAAAGCTGCTTTTGCCATTGTGTAACCAGAAAGAAATGTTGGCCAGTTTTTGTCTTCCAATGCTCCTTCTTTGTAATCTTTCAGAAACATTCCGAGGACTTCACCAAGTTTTGCATTTGTAAGAGTTTGTATGTCATTAAATACTCCTCTTGCCCAGTCATTTGGCATACACTAGAAGGACAAAAGAAAAATAAATAAAAAATAAATAAAACCTTAGGTTTATATCTTTCTTATGGCAAATATAAATATTTAAATATTTAAATATAAAACAAAAGATAAAAATGATAAACCCTCTTATTGTTTAATTAGTTCAATATCAAATATGTAACATAAATAAAAATGTAAAAAAAATAACAAGTAAAATAAATAAAGAAAAAACTTGAAAATTGGTTGAACCAACCAACCATCGTTTTTTAATGACAATATATATAGACACATGATAAAATTTTGAAACTAGTCAAAGAATAATGATGAGCTCAAAAACCTAATCCTAATAGGTATATTTCCTATCCAATTGTCATCTCAAAAGAAAGTTTGAGGACTTAACTCTACCATCTTAATAAGTTCATAATCAAACTAACTTGAAGGATCATATTTACTGGATCGGAGGAGGGACACTCCTTTATACTAAGAGGGAAAAGAGAATAAAACATAAGAATTGTCCCTGAAAAAGGAAGAGATAATATACACATCATATCAGGAAGAAAAAATATCACACTAAAGACTAGATACACCTAAAATTAGTCTCAATCTTCATTTGGCTAAATGGAATAAATTAACCAACTGAAAATCTCTAACACCTAAGGCTCAATTCTTCGTAGATTTGCATACATTATACCACTTCATCCAGAAGATCTTGGAAATACCATTCACACCTCCTCAAAGGAATCTCATTTAAATCATAACTAACTTCTTCCACATTTTCACAAGAATTTTTAGAAAGGATAAGAAGAAAATAGAAATAACATTAAAAACATCATTAAGAAGAACAACTCTCCCACCCCACCTCTTGCACACTAACATACTTATGATTCTAATAATTAAGTCTCTTACACACTAGGTAACTAGTGTTTTTAAAATAACTTCTAACTGAGAGTTAGCTCGACTAACAACCCAGATACCTATACGGGAGAGACTCAATCTTATTGAAAAAAATCCTCAAATAACTCTAAAAAAGTTGGGTTAACATTAATCTCAATCAAACTACTCATATGAAAATTAACCCCAAGACTTAAAGCTAGCTCAAACCCCCCTCAAAATAACTTGTATAAGACACAAATTCTCAACTGAATGGTCAAACAATATTAAGGTATCATCGGTATACTAAAGGTAAAAAAACCTCCAAATTAGAGGAACTTACTCTAAACTCATAAAACAGACTTAACTCAATAGCTCTCCTGATTAACCCATTAAGACCTTCTACCAATAAGAGGAAAAGGAAAAGAGTTAGATGGTATCCTTGCTTCAACCCTCTTTGGATCTTAATATCTTGAATTAGGGAGTCATTAACCAACACAGTCAGTTTATCAAAAAACACATAGGCTATAATCTAGGACCTCAACTTATCATTAAAGTCAAATATGATAAACATATAATCTAGAAATCTCAAGCTAACTAAATCATACGTTTTCTCAAAATAAACTTTGAAAATAAGATAGAAATTTCTAGAGTGTTTAGCCAAATCAATGACGTCATTAATATCCACCCCTCTATTAACTAACATTCTTTCTTTTAAAAAGTCAACTAGTTATGAGAGATAATCTTGTCCATCATTAAACCTACTCTCTTAGCTAGAACTTTGGCTACCAACTTATAAAGAGAATCAATTAGGGAAATAGGCCGAAAATCTCCCTACATATAAGGATTCTTAATCTATGAGGTAGGGATGCAAAATGATGAAATTCAATAAACATGATCCTTACATCTTCCCTCAACAAGTTCCAGAACCTTTTAAAAACGAGAAGTTAAATCCATCAGGACCTGAACTTTTAGTCCCATTATACTGAAGCACCTCTTAAAACTCCTCAATCGGGAAAGGAACTGTCAAAACCAAATTGTCCTCCATATAAAGGAAATGGAAGGACACCCTAACAAGCAGTGGATGCAGAATCGTGAGTTGACTCGCTAACTCGCCTGAGTTTACGTTTCAGAAGCATGTCAGCGTGCTGAGTCGGAGGTAAACTCAGATGGTGAAACTCGATAAACCCCGATTCGAAATTGTAACTCATTTTCCATCCTGCAAGGTGGCGCTTCTGTTTAGAAAAAAAAATCCTAATTTTTTAAAGTGGACCTGGATCGGATAGGATTTCATTAAATACATATTTATTATTATTTTTTAAAAATAGGAATTCATTAAATACTAATCAAAATTTCTCTTTTTCAAAAAAACGCATTAAATACTGTTATAAAATTATAGTTATAAAATTATTTTTAGGGTAATGTTAACTTGTGCCCTTGGGGCACATGTTAAGAACTAAATTAAGAAATATCATCTTGGAAATTGTGTACAAATTTAAATTAAAGTATAAAAATAATTTTTAAATTGTTTTTTCCAATACAAATTTACTAAAAGTGGTTTCCTTAACATGTGCCCCAAGGGCACAAGTTAACATTACCCTTATTTTTAATATAAATTCTCTTTCTTTCATTACTTCTTCTCTTCCTATCAAACTTTTTCATGATAACAAATTATTAAACATAATTACTTCCTCTTTTCTCTTTCACATTCAAACTTTCTAATTCCTCTTTTCTCTTTCACATTCAAACTTTCTAATTCGTTGAATTCTCTTTCATTTAACAAGACGTCGACGTCGCCAATTTGCTGCAATGCTTTTTTACGTGTAGCATGATCTTACGATCCGTGCTGCGATCCTCGAGTTACGATTTTTGAATCCTCCACCGATTCTACGTAAACTCTCGAGTTTTTAAACATTGAACAAGCATGGTCAGGTCAACATCTTCCTTCAACAACCATCGTTTAATTAGTCCAATCTAATTCAATCTAGTGCAAGTCAATTATATTGTTATCAGGATTAAACCAGTCGGAAAATTGAATGATATTCTGTTCAATCACTTGAGCCACTCTATTTGGTTGTCTCTATAAATGATCACTTATTCATTCACAAAAAAAAATATATATATATATATAAAGAAAAGCATGAAATTGTCTACTAGTTAAAAGTATAGAAATAGTTTAACCTTCAATTGTCCAGTTCTAGATGAGACATTAACAATCCTTGGAGAAGTAGATAGTTGGAGCAAGGGAAGAAGAGCTTCAGTTACTCTTTCAGCACCAAAGAAGTTTGTTTCAACACATTCTTTCACTAACTCATAATTTTGACAAACTACCATATTCCAATCAGATATTTCACCTCTCATCTACAAAAACAAATCATCACCATTTAATCACTTAACAAAACAATCTACTCTCAGATGTATAAATCACAAAAGGAGTTAATCTTACCTTTCTAAGAACATTCTCACCATTCACTATTCCCCCAGCAACACCAGCATTATTCACCTACACCAATGGTTTCAAATTTCAAATATGCAAATAATCTCTTCTCAAGAGATGAAATTACCATATATATACCTACCAAGATATCGAGTTTTCCGAATCGGGTTCTTATGAACTCAGCTAAAGAAGAAACACTTGAAGGATCAGTGACATCAAGTTGATGAAAAACCACAAAATCTGAGAGACCTAACTCTTTCAAGCTTTCAACTGCATCTAAACCTCTTTTCTCATTTCTAGCTGTGAGAATCACAATAACACCACTTGAAGCCAGTTTCTTACATATTCCAAAGCCAATTCCTTTGTTAGCTCCTGTTACTAGTGCATACCTAGAAACAAGGTTGTCATGGTAAGAGTATGAAACTATGAGTCCTTACGATGAACCTTGTGGTTGAAGAAAAAATAGGCTAAGGAAAATGGTGCTATACCTTTTTGTTGCTTCTGCCATTGCTCCAAGAGTGTATGAGTGTACTAAAATGGTTTTGCGGTTTTGTTTATATTAATCAATGAATCAATTATCTTTAAATATTCAAGAGTTCAGATCAAAGTTGATGTTCAATAAATTTTTATTTCAATTGTGTATTTTAAGGTTTGTTGTTATCGACAAAATCAATTGTTGGTTTTTAATATGTTTTGTATAGCATCTCTCATGCAACTATTTTATTTGAATTGTAAGCAAACACATTTGTTTTTTTAGTACAACTAGCATGATCACGGATGCAGATTCCCATAGTCAGTAGTGCACACGCATTAAGGCATTCGGTACATTGGTATTTATTTGATCAAGATTAAAAATAATATAAATTTAAGTTTTATATTTTGAGTGCAATATTGACTGCAGAGGAATGCATATGTTTGATCACCATTACAGCATATGATCACGAATAACAAACTCATATTTAGTTGTAAATTGGTTTCCAACATATACATGGACGACACTCGATACTTGGACATCTCTCAGTTTAACATCTATGGACATAGTAACTTTGAAGACAGCGTCAGAGTGCACGATTCCTACAACCAGTCATATATAACAGAAGTAAATTGAAATTCAACATGAAAAACAAAACAAATTCTTACAAGTAATTAGGAATGAAATACATGTACATTACCTTAAATTTCAGTTTCTTTTATTCTTTTTGATGCAAAAAAACATATGAATATGATTTTAAAGTACAAAATTTGATTGAAAATGAAATTAGATTTTTGTAGGATTTTACAAGTATGATGGTATGATCATGAAATGAAAAGTATATGCAAGGTGATGTTATATTCAATTTTTCGCTTGATATTTCCGAATACTGGTATCCAGACTATATCCGGTGATTGAACTCTAGATTATTTTTGGACAAATAAGGGTAGGTCGTTGATTATGATGGTGTAATATTCTTTAGGTGGAACTCTTAAAAATGGCCATTTAGAATTTTGTATATTTAGAATTTTTTACCCAAATACCCCACATTTAAAATTAAAAAAAGTCTCAACGTGACCCACTTTTCAATTTATTTTCCAAAGTACCCCACTTTAGGGGTGTGATAGAGTGCTAGCACCAACTCAATTGGCGACTGGTTATTGGGCTTAAGAGGTGTCGTCAATTGGATAGGAGACACCATAGGGTGTTGTCAATCCAATTGGTGACAAGGTGTTAAAAATACAATGGTGTCGCCAATTTATTTGGAGACATGGTGCAATCATAAATTTTTCAACATAAATAATTAACATTAATTTAATTAAAAATAATATTATATAAATTAATGATGACGATCGGGTTGGTCATACCGGCCACCGGTTCCACATCCCCTAGCCACCCTTACTCGTTGCCCTCCTTGTTGATTCACTCCCAGTGTTTGAGGATTTGAGATCTCAAGAACATCTCCAGCAAAATCCCTAAGAATTTCTTGCATTTTTAAGAAGTCTTGTGTGTTGAAAATAAGTTCGCGATCCATGTCAGAGTAGTTGGGATGTGATGAAGGGGTCATTGGTGTGCGTCCTAGACAGTTGAAGGCTGACATTGGTGTGAAGGATTCGTTGGTGAAAGATTGGATGATAGTGGTGTTTGAAAGCCATAAGGTTATTGTGATGTTTCTGTATGTCAGTTATGGTGTAATGTTTGAGCGTTTTGGCTATGGAAAGATGTTTGGGCGTTTTGGCTATGGTACGATGTTTAGGCGTTTTGGCTATATCTTGATGTTATGTTGGGGGCATATGCATTTTGGATATCTTGATAATAGTCATTTTTTTGGAGATGTTATGGGGGCACTCTTGGTATTGTGGTTGGGTGTTTGGCATGTTTGGATTATGGGTTTGTATGTTTATGGGTCGGTAATTTTGTTGGGTAGAGGTTGTGAGTGACAGGTCTGATAATTTTCTGGTGGGTTAGACGTTGAAATTTCTTATGTGTAGGTGATTTTCCGTGGGTCATATATAGGCATGGCAACATAATCACGGGTACCCACCCAAACTCGCCCCAAAGTTGACGGGGAAAACCCGCTTTGAATGGGTTTGGGTTTTTCCCAATTAAAAAATATGGAGATGGGTCAGGTAATGGGGAAACTAGTACCCACCCATAACCCAGCCCCGAACTCACACCGTTTATTTCATTATGTACATTATTATTTAGTTTAGTTAATTTGGGATATTAAATATGTGGCCAATGTTTTGATATTTTTATTTGTATTGTATGTATTAAAATTTTGAAATTATTTTATTTTATTATTTGTAATGTAATTTGATTTTGAAAAAAATAAATATTTCTATTAAAAAAATTTGATTTTACTAAATGGATGGTGGTGGGGCGGGGATATCCGAACCCAACCCGAAACCATTTGGGAAAGGTTTGAATTTTAATTCTCCATCCCCATTTGGGTTTGGGGAGGGGAACAGAGATTGTTTGGGGATTCCGATTTGGGTTTGGAGGAGGTCAAAATCGTCCCCGCCCCGCCCCGTTGCCATGCCTAGTCATATATATACCTCTCTTCGGAGACAAACCTAGTTGCAACCAATTTGTACTAAGCCTATCAGTATTAGTTGGTATAGACGGAGTTGCCATCACCGGATCACGTAAGAGATGGGCGCGGTGGTTCCTCCATTTATGACACTGTTGAAAGTGTTTTTCAGTGAGTAGCAGTTTTATCGTCTCCATAGGGATTTTAGTGATATCACTTGTTGTTCTATAGTTCAAAGAGTTTTAAGTATGATTTTCAAAGATGTTTGTTTTGGATCATAAGTTTGTCACAAGTTTAGTAGCAAAGATTAAATTTTAAAAGATGTTTGTTTAACAAAGCATATCAAAGATAGATTTCATCAACCTAACTTGTATATATTCTATTAATCAAACATGTGAATTCTTTTCTGATTAATATAAGCATGTATCCTCTCAATATTGTCTATGTCTAGAGAGGTGTCGTGAGTATTATTATATCCTTCATTAGATGATGTCTCATGCTAACAATAAATATAATAATCTTTAAGATTAACACAAAGCAAATATCAACTCATAAATCTATGTCTAGAGTTTTTTATTGATAGATGAATATCTTAGATCAAGTTTTGTAAAATCTATGTCTAGAGTAATACAAGTCATAAATAGATCTTTAAGAACAAAAACATTCACCATATATTAATCATCAACTTGTTCACATACAAAGAGATCAAAAGAAATACATACAAGCTAAGATAGACTACATCTACCTTTGATACAAAGTATTTAGCTACCCATTACCATGGTAGCTTACTTTACAAGGAAAGATAGAAGATGAATGTGCATCCACGATGAATAATCGACCTATGATGTGAATCCAGCTTCTACTTATAAAATATCACTTTTTGATGAAGAAATGAAGAACTTTGGGTTTTTCTCTCTAAGGCAATGTTTCTATTTCAGAAAATGAAGTTATTATCCCCAAAAAGCAAGAAAAGTACATAAATATCTTTACAAAATCTGTCTCGCTCGCACTGCGAGCTCTCTGTTTGCAATGCGAACTTCACTTTTAGGCACATGAAGTGCCTCTGAACAGTTAAACTGCCTCTGAGAATTCTTTAACTTTGCACTGTGAACTCATGTTCACACTGTGAAGTTCTTCACCACCCAGACCTTGCACTGCTTTCAGTGAGGCGTTTTGCTACTGCCATGAATAATGCTTTGGTTTGTTGGCCTTTGCCTTGAGTTCGCACTGCGAGCTCGCCTTGACTTCGCTTCTGGCTCGCACTGCAAGTTTGTTGAATCTTCTTTTTTTTCTTTGACTTCCTTTTTCCACTCCTTTGTGTCTTTTTTCTTTGATATTCAAGCCTAATTCCTACACAATAACACATAAATCAAGCATCCAAAGGTACATGCAATTTTATTGAAGATTCACAAAAGAACATTGAATAAATCAATTAAAACATAATTAAAAAGTTGAAAAATGCCAAGAATAATGGATCAAATTAGGACATATTTGGCATTCAATAGACACTCAAATTTAGCAAAATCTTTCCAATCGAGATAGTTCATTGTTCATTAATTTTTTGTAGATGCCATTTACCGAGGTCAATCGGGGGATCTAGGATGTTTTGATTCATTCCAAGCTGTAGTTTGACACGGTCAATATGGTGCATCTCCACAGTAATGAATTTGATGATCAGCATGCATGCAGTCCAAACAATTGCATCTTCTTCTTGACTTTATGTAGGTGTACCATTTTTAGATATGAACGCCAAATGAACTGTAGAAGAGAAAAAGATTGGATCATAAAATGGGTGATATAAAAAATACATTGATTCATTTAGTGGCATTACATCTCCAGGTGTAAGATTATCCAAGATATTGCGATATTAAATGATACAATATCTAGGACATCTATTGTAAGTCATACCACGAGCCGACCATCTAACCAAAAAAGTTCGAATAAATTAGTTAGAGACAATAATCAGTAAGGTGAATTAACTAATATGAAGTTATTAACTTACTTTTGTGCATACAGGAGTGAGAAGTTGTTGTGGTTGACGGGCGCTAAGGATGGCAATCTAGGCCAATCCTATGCTTGGAGCAAAACGATGCATCCATAAAACGTAGATGTGTTTTTCATTATGTTTTTACACAAAGAGATATACAAATAAGACAAACAAGCAGAACCCCAACTATATTCTCTTGTTTTATCTAAGTTTCTTAATAAAGGTAAATACAAAATGTGCATAGTAGAACCAGTACCTTCGGGAAATAAAAATGAACCAATTAGAAGCATAAGATAATGATCGCGACTTTCTATGTCTAATACAACTTAACTGCAAGTGCACAGTCTATCGCGTAGTAATAAAAGATATCGATCCCACAAGGACTCGTAATCAAACTAGTGTTCTCGGGAGTTACTATGTTTAGCTAGGTAGATAATGTTTAAGGGAATAATTTCTATCACTAAAGGGAACTAAAAATGTTACTTGAATTATAATTACGTGAATCGATATGCAATAATTATGTTCTTCGGGGATTTGACAAGTTACCGGTATATAAAATATTTTTCAGAATTTATTTAAGAAGAAAATAGTGATCTAAATACTTTCGTCTCACGATGGTTGTTGACGCTAGTCGCAACTCTAAGGCGGAACGTATGCTGTCGCTATCCCGTTCGGGGTTAAAATCGCTTTTTGGAAATCTCTAAGTTCTAATCTATTTTAAAGTGCTTTCGCTGTTATTAAAACAAATGCCTAGTGTTTATTATCTGGTCTTAGCCGCAGCTGTCGCTTGTTGGTTCGTACCTTAATTAATTTCCCACTGTCGTGGCAAAACTACGTTTAAATAAGTTCTCGTTGTCGCGACGAACGATTATTCAGGAAATAAGTTTAAACACTCAGGCCATAAACAACTTTTGAAAAAGAAAGTTTTTAACCGGTTATTATCAAATCCCGTCTGAATTATTATTACATATCGATTACTCTGGTTTAGCTAGACATGGATTTGGAATAAGTAAAACATAAATAAAAGCAGAAATTTAGAACATTCATATTACTGGGAATTAAAGTTACAATTAACGAAATAATAAAAACCTGTAACGTATCCAATTGGCTTTTGGCCAAATCCCAACGATGTCGGCAGGATTATGTCTTCAAACCAATAGAGCGCACAAATGAATATTGTAGAAATGGAATACAGGAAAAAGGAAAGGAAACAAAAACAACAAGAATGAAACTAAATTTGCTCTGGAAAATAATTTGGGCAGCACTTCGTTATCTGAAGAACCAACTCTATGTGAATTTATAGAGGAAGAATAGTATTAATTTAACATGCCATGCAACAGGCTAGCACCAAATGAATTGGTGACTATGTAGGTATTTAACACCCTGACGCCAATCCAAATGGAGACTTATAGGCACGCATAGTCTGTGCATAAGTTGTAGACATAGGGCGCATGCATGTATGGCAGTTTGAGTATTACATGGCGACAGTGAAGGTTGCAGGCTATTTTGTATTGAACCATGTCACCAATTTGAATGGCGACAGTGTAGGAAAAGTGAACCTTGTCGCCAATTGAGTTGTATAGTCCACTTAATGCTCCATGCATATTTAACATGTCTCGTGTATTGTCATCTGCATCAATCCATTTCTCTTACAAAAGATATAGTAACAATGTCATCTGCATCGAGATACATTGTTAAAACTCACTACAATGGAGAGACATATGTCTCTTATGTATTTGGGTTTGGTTTCAAAACACCGATGTTATACGATTTACAATCAATAGAAATACAAATTTCTTGCATTTTAAAGATAAATTGGAATCAAAATTAGGGTTTGGTCCTATATCACAAATTATATATCAAAACCCCATTTTTTAAAACCAACCACGTTAAATATTTTCCACTTAAAGTGCGAGATGATGAAGATATTGAAAATATGTTTGTTAGTCACGAACATTCTAGTTTCAACTATATTGAGTTGTATAATTTACTCCAACAAAATCTTTCATCTCAATAATCTCAGATCATCAACCAATCAGAATGTACAGATTCAGATGAAACTGAAATGGAAGACTCAGATGAAACCAAAGCAGAAGTCGGCGTCATTGATGACGAAGAAGAAGGAAGCGAGACACTGGTCAATCATCTGTTAAACAACACCTCTGAAGACAACGATCATCAAGTGCCATTACCTCCAGGTCGTGCATATTGTTTGCCTCAACATATGATAGATTTGGACTTGCATGATGATGAGAGATCCTCAGATATTTTTTACAACTCGTATATGCGGTCAGAGGGTGAATTAAAAGTTGGAGACAAGTACTGTACCAAGGAAGAATGTGTACGATCTATTAAAAAATATCACATGGATAACTTTGTTGATTTCACCGTACATTGAACTAATTCGAAAAGGTATGTCATTATTTTTTGTAACAAACTTTTCAAGTTTCGGCTCGCTGCGTCTTACAGGAAGAGAAATGATTCTTGAAAGATAGCTTCCATAGAGCCACCTCACAGTTGCACTGCCACAAATATTGTACAAGATCATCAAAAATTAAGTGTTAAATTGATAGGTCAAGACATTTTTCCGCTTGTTAACAAGGACCCATTAGTGAAGGTGAGTATAATAATCTCTCATATTGTTACGCGATATAATTACACTCCCTCATACAAGAAAGCGTGAATTGCAAGGACAAAGGCAGTTGAACCAGTATTTGGAAACTGGGAGGATTCATACAAAGAATTACCACGATTTTTGGTGGCACTTAAGACATACACATCGGGGATTGTTGCAATTATGCAGACAATGTCGGCATGTAGGCCAGATGGAACTATTGTTGACGAGAATGCAATATTTCACCGACTCTTTTGGGCATTTCAACCATGTATCAAAGGTTTTGCATTTTGCAAACCTATTATTCAAATTGAGGTAACATGGTTATACAAAAAATACAAGGGCACTTTGCTTATGGAAGTTGCACAAGACAACAACAATAATGTCTTTCCCATTGCTTTTGCTCTGGTTGAAGGTAAGACCGCTGCTAGTTAGAGTTTCTTCCTTAAGAATCTCAGAACACATATGACTCCACAAGCCAATCTCTGCTTGATTTTAGAGAGGCATGATGCTATTGAGAGTGCTTAAAATAACCATGATAACGGGTGCCATAATCCTACTTCTACCCATATCTATTGCATTAGACATATCGCACAAAACTTCATGTGTGCAATCAAAGACAAAAACTTTCTCAAAGAAATTGTGAATGCAGGATATGCTTTAACTCAACCATCATTTCAATACTAGCGTAACGAAATTAGATTGTCAAATGCAGATGGAGGAAGGTGGCTGGATAACATTCCATTGAACAAGTTGACAAGGGCATTTGACGGTGGATGTCATTTGGGCCACATGACAACAAACTTTGTGGAATCCATAAACGACGTCTTCAAAGGAATTAGAAACCTTCCAATAACCGCATTGATGAGATCAACCTATTATAGGTTGACATCACTTTTTGCAAAAAGAGGCGAAAGATGGAGTGAAATGTTAATGTCAGGTCAATTGTTCATTGAATGCATAATGAAAGTGATAAAAGAGGAAATTATCAAAGCTAGCACACATGCAGTTACAATCTTTGACCGTCATAAAAAACTTTCAGTGTACAGAAAAAAATGGACCACAATGAGAGGAGGCCAAGTTTATCCTATGTTGTCAAACTAAATAGATGTTAGTGTGACTGTGGCAAGTACCAGTCCTTCTGTGTACCTTGCTCTCATCTCATTGTTGCATGCACACATACTCATCAGGATGCTTACAGCCATCTATCTGATGTTTACAAGACCATTAACGTTATGAATGTCTAAAACGAAGACTTTGCAGTGCTAGCAATGGAGGAATATTGGCCTTCATACCAATAGGACATGGTTTGCCACAACAATGTGACGCGAAGAAAGAAAAAAGGTCGCCCAAACTGCACGTGTATAAGAATAGAAATGGATATGGCTGATAAAATGATAAGATTGTATAGGGTATGCCGTCATCCCGGACACAATTGAAAAAATTGTCCCAATGTCGGAGCAACCTCTGCATCATAATTTAGTTTCTCCTTTCAATTTTTGTAACCTTAGATTTTGATATATTAATATCATTTTGTTACAACAATGTTAACAACAAACAACACATACAACAGATATCAGAACAGATATACACAACATTTTTAACTAATTATAACAAACAAACTGATATCATTTGGTCCAAACATCACTTTCCTCGCATTTTTGTCAGTTTTAACTTGCACCCACCCACGTAGGGCGTCGTGTCTCTCAATACTTCTAATTTTTTTCCCTTCAGGTATGTCTTCGTCTAACCAACGATTTAACTCCCTTTGTAGTTGCTTGAAACTTTGGATGTTCCAGAAGAGCATCTCCATCGGAGGTTTATCTCTCGAATAAATCACTTTCTCTTTCTGGCAACGATACATGTTATCACTAATATAAGAATATGAGAATAGATGTGAAAATAATTGATCACACCACCTCTATTTATAGTAAAATTACACAATGCACCCTGTCTCCAAATAAATTGGCGACACCATTGTATTTTTAACACCCTGTCGCTAATTGGATTAGCAACACCATATAGTATCTCCAATTCAATTAGTAACACCTCTTAAGCCCAATAAACAAACGCCAATTAAATTGGCGCTAGCACTCTATCAGACACCTAAAATGAGATACTTTAAGAAATAAATTGAAAAGTGGATTATTTTAAATTCTTTTTGAAAATATGGAATATTTGGATAAAAAATTTTGTATATTTACTACACTTTTAAACTACTATTAAAAGTACAAATTTAAGTTGAGAGTATCTGACACTCTTTAGATAAAATTCTTTTAAAACTTAAATTTTTTTATTAATAAATTATTATTTTAAATAACATGACTAATAGTTGATGGATATATTGTTCATATTAGTTCTTCAAGTTATTGCAAATTTGCAACCAAATGTTAAACAGACAACAATGAACAATGAGTAAAGAATTCATCCAAAACACATCCTATCATTTATATGCAAGACTGTAATACATTGAAAACAATTCTCAAAAACTAGACAAATCTTGGCTAGCAAAAAAGTGACCAGAACTTGAACCATTAGAAACTAATGCTAATCTCACAACACTAGCAGCACCATTTTCAACACTTAACACACCTGTGTTTCTATTCATATCTGTTTTAACAAAACCAGGACAAACACAATTAATACACAAGTTTGGATATCTATAAGCCAGAAGTCTTGTGTAGGAATTCACAGCTGCTTTCGAGAGTTTGTAGGCCGAAAGATACGTCGGCCAACCATTGTTTTCAAGTGAATCTTGTTTGAAGTCTTTCAGAAACTCTTTTAGTACTTCGTCTATTAGCTCTTCGGTGAGATTTTCGGTATCGTCTAACACACTCTTAGCCCAATCATTTGATATGTACTGAAAAAAAACACGCCATACCACAATTTTATGTTGAGAAACGGATCGAAATAAGTCAATCTAAACAGGTCTTAAATGAATTTCGAAATAGGAATAAACTACTTTATCATTGCTCTACCTTTAATAGGCCTGCCGTAGAGGAAACATTAACGACCACTGGTGAATCGGATAACTTTAGAAGAGGAAGAAAAGCCTCGGTAGTTTCTTTAGCGCCGTAGTAATTTGTTATTATGCATTTTTCAGCCATCTCGTAAGTTTGACTCAATTCCCTCCAATTAATAATCGGTTCAATCTGCATATTCATGTACAGAAAAACGAAGGCTTATTAAAAACCGATATTATGCCAAACAGTATAAAAATAAAAATAAAAATGTTCACTTACCATCTCATCTGCATTGAAACCATTGATTCCGGCATTATTCACCTACACATGATTTAAAACGTTCCCGTCGTTAATCTCAATGTGATTTCATATCGAGAAAATCCAGACACAGTATTGGAAAAGCGGACTCAATCCAAAAAAAGTATTGAACGTCAAGCTAAGCTGACATCCTAAACATAAATCACCAAAACAAAACGCTACTCGCTGAAGCGAAAACACTAACATAGACATGTCTCATGAGACTAATCCGTCGACTTGAGTTATAGTTAGATAATAGAAGCCATTGAATATAATTACATGTCTCGGTCGTGTCTGTGTCAGACATCAGACACACCTGTTATCTGAAATCTAAGTCCTACCAGCGACTTAAGTGTTGAATTTCAAAGATAATTAAAAAGATATATTGTTTTAGCCATAGATGAAAATTGAAATATCAAAGAAACAGAAATAACACAAGTGATTAAGAAGGTACTGTGACAATATTTACAGAAATTTTTTAAAACTTTCATCAGATTCACCAAACAAATGTAAATTCAGAATCATATTATGAAATTGAACAAACATAGTAGAACATAACAAGTTTATAAGATTCACATGCATTGTCTAAGAAAGAAGAAAACAAAAACTAATAGAAAAGTGAAAGTGATTCTTCTCACCAAGATATCAAGTCTTCCAAACTGAGTCTTAACAAACTCAACCAATGATGAAATACTAAAAGGGTCAGTAACATCAAGTTGATGAAAAACAACAAGATTACAACAAAACCCAAAATCTTTCTTCAATTTCTCAAAAGCTTGAACACCCCTTTTCTGATTTCTAGCTGTAAGAACAACTTTGACTCCATTTGAAGCTAATCTCTTAACAGTTTCCAATCCTATCCCTTTATTTGATCCTGTAACAACCGCATATCTGAAAAGGAACAACCCAAAAGTTCATCACTTTGAGTTCTGAAAAAGGAAAATAAAACAAAGGGTTCTTTTAACATTTATGTTTCCAACAAAAAAGTACCTTTCTTTTGTGTTTGCCATAGATGTTGAATCTGTTTGAATCATGATGAATGGATGTGCACAAAGGAGTAATATATAGTTCACTTTTCTTTGAAGATAATAAAATGAGTTGTTATTATTTTATAGTTATTTTGTACCTAAAAAAATTGATTTATTGTAATATTTTATTTAGTCTAATAGGTTAGGACAAATTCAAGTATGTGAGTTGTATTTAATTTGACATTTTTTAATCACGTTGTCACTTATTTAACATGGTTTATTTTTTGTATTTAGATTGTAATTTTTTTGTATTTAGATTGTAATTTTTTTTATTTGTGTGAGGGCCGCGCGAGCCCCTCATTCAACAAATTATGATATAAGTTCTACCATTTGAATAGACCTTAAGAAAATACCCCTATTTTCTAAGTCATAGGATTTCATAATTATCCATTGATCCAATTTAAATTTTAACCTTATTTTAAAATATAAATAAAAGTAAAAAAATTAAGGAAACATTTAAAATTGAGATTGTGATGATAATCGATTAAAATTTAACAATTGATTATACCAATCGATTATAATGCTTTCACATCTTGGCAAAAAATTGGGATTGGGTTATAATGCTTAAAGGCACGCCGCTTTGTCTTTGTGGGAGTTGCTAGATCCTCTATGTTATTGGGGTGTTTGAGGAAGTCTAGAGTATCAATAATACTAATGTTCTATGACCACAAGAGAGGGAGATACCACATCTCAACCCAAAACTTTAAAGTGTTAGGTAAATGAGATACAAAACTATATATAGGATACAAGTTCTTTGAACTCCCACGTCGTTTAGTTTTGTGAAAGAAGAGGGAGTCCAAGGCTATATATAGGATTCAAGTTCTTAATTTCAAGATACACCAGTTAAAAGCACTTTTAGCTTGTATTTGACTTTATTTATTCTTTTATACTCTTTTTTAGATTGTTGTGAGATATAGTTAAATATTTGTTTTGAAGGATGTGGGTGTACTGGGAGTCCGGGTTAGTTGAGGGTATATTATGTGTTGTAACAGTTTTCACATAGTGTTATGTTGGAAATTTGGTGTGATAATCTTGGATATCTTCGAAGAATCGTGTTCGTACACTTTCCGAACAAAGTATTTCGACCCTATTATTTTCCTGGGTTCACGAAATCTTTGTGGGGATAATTCTTTGAAGAACAATTTGTTTATGCCAATAGAAAACAGATCAAGAATGTAGAGAGAATATGAATTTTGTTCAGTGTGTAAAACTGAGGCCAAATGACTTCTTGGAACCCCACTGGGCGCTGCCCCGCACCTCGCCAGGGGCTCTGCCTCTTGGAATCCCTTTTCAATTATTCGCATTCAATTGTACGTTGGCTCAACGAGCGTGCACTCCGCACTACCCTAACTCGTTTCCAAGCTTAACGTATAATTGCATCGGCCTACAGTAAATCACATTACTACTAAAATACATTGATGATACTAAAATCACCAACATGTTATTCTCTAGTTGCCTATTGACAACAGTTGTGATTTTTTCTCCGATTTTGGAGTTTCCTCGTTATGTTTTTGTATTGTGATTGTGTTCCTCTATTTTCTCTATGTTTTGCTTTATTTTTTCCCAACAACTGGTATCTAAGTTTTGGTTGGATATGAGGATAAATGTTCTTAGTATTTTATGTGGTTGCAGTTTTGTCAGATCTTCCACATCAGAAAAGAAGGACAATATTGTGAAAGCGTTGTTGAGCTGCAGTAAAAATCCCGCTGTGTAGTTTAGGCTAGAGAAAATTGATGGAAGATTTTTTTTTACTTATGGAAAGTTCAAGTCAAAGATGTGTTGATACAATCAAGATTACACAAGGTGCAAGATTGTGTCGTTGGTTGAAGAATTTCCTGCCAACAAGGAAGTTGCACCATAATGTTTCAACCTGGTTTTTGACATGTGAAAATTCTTGAAGTGGTTTATCTACAAGTGAAGTATACTTTTACTTTAGGTGGAGTATGATGGTTTTTTAAAACTATGATTGTCGGTGAAGATAATGTGAAATTCTTGGAGTGGTTTAACTTCAAGTGATTATACTCTTTATGATCAAGTATGATTGTCAGTGAATACAATGAAAGCTTATGTATTATTTTCAATTAAGGTGAAAATTGCCGGGGTTTATTGAAAATATACATGTTGAAGAAGTCTCACAGCGTTTAGTTGATTGAAAATATTTATTTTGGAGGGTGTCGGTGTACTGTGGGTCTGGGTTAGTTGAGGGTATATTATGTGTTGTAACAATTTTTACATAGTGTTATTTTTTGGTTGTCTATTGATAATGGTTGTTTTTTTTTTTCAATTTTAGAGTTTCCTCGTTATGTTTTTGTGTTCCTCTTTTTTCTCTCTTCTTTGTTTTGTTTTTTTCCTAACATATGTCTCATATGTGTGCCGCAATTTGATCATTTAATTATTTTTGTATTACACAGAGAGTTTGTACCGTGTTACCGATTCTTTTAAGCGCCACATTTACTTGATGTTATTGAACCACACTTTCTATACTTTTTTCTAATGCTAAGTGTGTCTGTTTTCTGTATTTTTTTTTTCTAATTTTCTTCTGTTTATTCATGTTTCATCCATCTTCTTGCTTCTTCGTAGTATGTTTGTAGTAAAATACTATATGAAATTTATAGATTTAGAATGATTTTAATATAGGCTTACACCCTTTTTACACTTACATCGTATGCACTGTTCACAAATACAATGAACATTAGCGTGAACAGTGTCATGTGCACAATATCATGTCCATGAGCGATATCCGTGAACAGTTCATGAACATTGACTTTTAATAGTAAATCAAAGTTGGTTAATAAAATGTAAAAATTTGTTTAATGAAGTGATAAAGTTGGTTAACAAACTTCCAGATATTAAAAATATTTTTTATTAATAAAAGAAAATTGATTAATACAATATTAAAAGTTGATTAATAAAATTATGAAGTTGGTTAATAAACGCTAAAATATAAAAATATTTTTTAGTAGTAAAATAAAGTTAAGTAATGCAACATAAAAAGTTGATTAATTAAATTATAAAACTCGTTAATAAATATTCATATATAAAAATAATAATTAATTTTTATATTTAAAAGAAATATAGTATTATAATATTTTACTCTTCATCATATTTGTGAACAACTGTTTTAATATAATGTCAGTTTTTTTTTTTAATTTTTAAATGTTTTATTAAAATTTACTGCTAAATATATAATGAGACAAATTTATTAGAATATTAATAATAATTCATATTTATTTAGTTGTACTATTTTCTTAGCCCCTAAGTTTGTTAGAGGGTATTTTAGTATTTTATCTTATTCTAGTAACCCTAGTTTTAGCTTATAAATAGGGTGACAATCATTGTAACTTATATCATGTTTTTGTAGCCGTCATTCTCTTTAATAGAATATTTCCTTATTTCATCATTTATTCTATCTTTGCACCAACAATTGGTATCTAGAGCTCCGGTTCAGATTCATTGGGAAACACGGGAAACACGAGTGAACGTGAGGTCTTGTGTGTTTGATTTTGTTTCTCAGATTCTTGTTGAATCTTGAACAAAATCTGATCAGAATTTTTTTTTTAATTCTGTGGGTTGGGAAACACTGTGTGAGAAAACTCTGAGTGTATTGTGCAAAGTAGAAGATGAACGGAAACGGCAACATGAACACCAAACTTCCAGTATTTGATGGTAAAAACTGGAATCGTTGGATGATCCAAATGCGTGTACTGTTTGGTGCTCAAGATGTTCTGGATCTTGTCACTGATGGTTATGTTCCGGTAGCAGCAGATGCGACTGATGAACAGAAAAACGCGCAGAAGGAAGTAAGGAAGAAGGATCAGAAAGCATTGTTCTTCATTCATCAATGTGTGGATGTAAACGTGTTTGAGAAGATTGCAGACTCTACAACAGCAAAGGCTGCATGGGACACTCTGGTGAGATGTTATGGTGGTGACGCATCAGTGAAGAAGGTGAAGCTTCAGTCCTTGAGAAAGCAATATGAGAATCTCAACATGAAGAATAATGAGAAAGTTTCTGAATACATCTCCAGAGTGATTCTGATCACTAATGAGATGAAGGCATGTGGAGAAACTCTTTCTGAAGAAACAATCATGGAGAAAGTGTTGAGATCCCTTACTCCTCAATTTGATTACATTGTGGTAGCAATAGAACATTCCAAAGATCTGAGCACAATGAGAATTGAAGAGCTGCAAAGCAGTCTAGAAGCGCAAGAGTTGCGTCTGACTGAGAGAAACTCTGAAAAGGAAGTAGAACAGCAGGCTCTGAAAACAACTTCTGATAGGAGGTATCAGAAGCAGTCAGAAGTCAGGAGAAGATCTGATGGTGGTCAGAGGTCAGAAAGCTCAACCTCTGATAGACAAAAGAATGCTCAGAGGGGAAAAGAGAAGTATGACAAAAGAAAAATACAATGTTACTGTTGTAAGAAGTTTGGCCATTTTGCTAGAGATTGTTGGTCAAACAAGGAGAAGAAATCAGAAGAAGCAAATATAGCCAGAGGCTCTGATGACGAATCTGTGCTGTTGATGGCCTCTGAATCTGATAATGTGGATCTGACAGACTGGTGGTATATGGACACTGGCTGTTCAAATCATCTTACTGGAAACAAGAAATGGCTGGTTGACTTTGACTCTGAAAAGAGAACAAAGATCAGATGTGCTGATGACAAATATCTTAATGCAGAAGGTATGGGAAATGTTAGAGTGACTCTGAACAATGGGAAAATAGCATTGATTCAGAATGTGTGGTATGTACCTGGCATCAGAAGCAATCTGATGAGTGTGGGACAATTAATTGAGAAAGGTTTCTCAGTTACCATGAAGGACAATCTTCTGAAGCTGTATGACTGTAATCAGAAGTTGATTATGGAGTCAGAACAGGGAAGGAATAGAACATTCAAGGTGAATGTCAGAACTGCAGACTCAGAGTGTCTTAGTGCAACAAGTACTGAGAAGGAGAGTGAGTTGTGGCACAGAAGATTTGGTCATTTGAATTTCAGAAGCTTACAACAT